AAGACAGGCAATGAGGACGGGAAAAGAATCTTCCCAGCAACTTCAACTTTGTACGACAGAACAAATCCCGGCAAGATCAGCGCCGCAGAGGCGCCCTTTGGAGGTATCAGAGAAAGTGGCTTGGGCAAGGAGTTCCAGATTATGGAGAATACTCCTTGCGGAATTTGGGCTTGTGAGGAAACAGAGACATCCAATTAGGTGGGAGCCGACATTGCAGTGAAAGGGTCAGCCAAAGATAGATCCTTTGTCTAAGAAACCACACTGGGATTTTGATCTACCCACCACAAGAGAATGTTAGTAGTTGCATTCTTGCCGCCGCCAGCAGACAGAGGTAGGACGCTGCCCCTTTCTGATATGGCATTCTCTGCACTGCTCGCCGCCTTGGAACGGTCAAGTGAACTCTACCTCAGAACCGGTTGTGCAGGAAATATCTCCATCCAAGCACTATCCCAGGTTCAGTTCCTCCCAGCGTGCATTCCGCCGGTAATCAACAGCTCACCGCCCGTCATATAGCTACTGGCAGAACTGAGCAAGTAGACAGCGGCACCCTTGAGTTCCGTGCGGTCAGCCATCCGCTTCATGGGCGGCTCCGAAACAAAGACTTCGGCCAACCCAGGCCTCGCCGCGCTGATGTCCAGCGTCATGTCAGTCATGACATAGCCCGGGGATATGCAATTGACGCGGACTCCCGCGGTGGCCAATTCGACGCTGAGCTGGCGACACAGTGCCAGTACCGCCCCTTTGGAGGCACAGTAGTCTGACGTGTACTGGAGCTTGGACGCTTGGTGAGCAGCGATACTGGCGATCATCACCACGGAGCCGGCTGCTGCTGGAGGGCGCAGAGAGGTCGGAGAGCTCGAGCCGAGGGGTCGTCGCGAGGTCATGTGCCGCACTGCAAGTTGAACGGCGTAATAGGTGCCCAGGACGTTGGTTTCGAATGTCCGCTTGACACTTGTCGGACAACGGTCGAGGAACGGCTGATCAGGGCAGATGCCCGCCGCGGTGATACTGTTCAGTCTGGGTGAGTTTGCCTCTCTTTGTGGTTATGAAAGAAGGACAGCATCGGAGTATTGCCGGCTCCCAGGTTGGAAGGAGGTGGGTGGGGAGAGCAGGAGTGTCTGCTTACATTCCATCTATGCGGTGATAGTCTTGGACGATCGCGTCGAAGGTACTCTTCAGGCGTTCGTAGTCGGTGACATCCGATCTGGAGAAAGGAGAAACATGTACATCAGTCTCATTATCTTGCCCTTAAGCCTTGCTGTCGTGTGGCCCAGGTAGGAAGATGTTTCGAAGACTGACTGGTAGTATACGACTTTGGCAGCTCTCTGCTTGAGGATCTCAAAATGTTCATGTGGCGCTGGCGACGCATCAACCAACGCGATTAGACCGCCAGCCTCAGCAACTGCAAATGCCAGTGTCAAGCCAATACCTCTGGCACCGCCGGTGATGACCACCACGCGATCTTTCAGACTGAAGAGACTGGTCACGTCGCAGTGCAGGTAGGTATCTGTTGCAGTTTTGTCTTGCACGGTGATGCCGGGAGCCGTCATCGTGTCTCCGAAGTAGAGAAAAATGTGACTTTTGGTCTGGGACAATCAGGACCAGGGCCTCACACTTCGAGAGAAGCTCAGCAGAGGCCGCGCGGTTTTATTCAGTCCGGTAGTCATCGCACCAAATCCGTGAGGTCTTAAGCCATGCCAACTCGCGTTGTGTGTCGCCCACCTTCTTCGGTTATTCGCTGCTCTCACATGAAATTGCTTTCTCTCTGGTGGTTCTCAATCCAGAGCCAGCTCCGGGATTCCATTCTGGTCCGGAAGCGTGAGCAATAAGCATGCTGCACTTCATCCATGGTTGACAAGTCTTGCGCACGCTCGCCCTGTGATCATAGCCGGCGGCCGTTGGGCGGCCGTTGGTCGACAGATGACGCTTCGATGGTACCGATCAACCTTATAAGGCATATTTGAAACGTTTTCAGTACAACGTTGGAGTGTAAGAGCCCCGGCTACTTCACAGGAAGCTCGAAACCCGAAGCTTGGACATCTACTCCAAACCGAACCCCGGAGGCATACTTCCGCTATAACAAATGTCCAAGGATTAAAAGGAGTCAGACTACAGCTTGCATCCCAGCCACTGGCCTTGAACCCGAAGCCTGCCCGCTGACGCAAATAGCTTCGTGCTCGGCAGACAAGCATGCGAGTTTTGCAAACCTTCAACTATGACTATCTGTTCAATTGCGCGGCCGAGCGGGGATTCCAATGATCCCGGGGCGTCGGTTACGCGGCCCGGATATCACGGCAGCTCTCAACTTCCACACTTTGCTTTGTCATCTTTCTTTCTATCTTTCTTTCTCCTTTGCCAACTAGTTGGTGCCTCAATAGCTTCAGAAACTCGTCTTCTCTCGAGTGTCGATCTCAGTCGAACGCGGTGTGCCGTGCGACTCAGCCATCACAACCCGTTCTACATGCTCTCCTTGTTCCTCTGGAAGGCGATCGGACTTCAAAAAGATGTAGTCAATTTCTTCAAGTCCCAGGCCTTTAGTTTCAGGAAACCAAAAGTAGATCATGGGCACGAAGGCGAAGTTCTTGTTCTTGTTGTCAGTCGTTGGGCCCCAGGCACTTTAAATAAGGACAAGACTTACGAATGCCATGAAAACCAGGTAAGTTTTCCAAGTGATATTGTGAACCAGAGTTGGCGTGATTTGGACAATCACAAAAACCTTGACCAGATTAGCACGATTTTTTGGACAGCACGAATTCTCTCATGGGGATAAACACACCCAGATCCAGTTGTTGAAGACAGCTAACGCGGTTCCTTGAGCGCGAATGCGCAGTGGGAGGATCTCGGTACTGTAACACCAAGGTATAGCGTTCAAGCTGGCCCCGAATGAGAGCATGTACTGCCAGCAGCGGTTAGTCTAACAAGGATGGACGGCCTGAGCCTGTAACTCACAGTGATGAAAAACGCAATGGAAACGTTGGCCGTTGCCTTCCCTTTATCCGTTCCATTGTAGGAAAGCAGGATGGCCACCACCATCATAGAAAGACCCATTCCGATGGCGCCAAACATCATAGGCTTCTTTCTCCCGAGACGATCAGCTCCGAGAGCTGGGACCAACGATCCGACCGCAAATGCTAGGTTCAGACAGCCACCCACAACAATGGCGGTATTCCGACTGAGTCCGACATTGACTTCGAGCACAGTCGCTGAATAGAAGACAATGACGTTGATCCCCGCCCACTGTGTGTCTGATTAGCACTGTCAAGGTTACGACATGACTGTCTCCGAAGACCGACCTGGTTCATGAACAACACCAAACAGGCGAGAAACACGCGCCTTCCAGTCTGGATGGGATCTCGCTTGAAGATGCGAACCCATTTAAAGGGCTCTGCCTCCTCCAGCTCAATGGCTTTGAGAATGTCTCGCGTCTCGGTCTCAACCAGGGGATCCTCCGGTACTGTGTTCCAGACTTTGCACAGGACAGCCACGCCTTCTTCAGTCCGACCTTGTTGAATCAGCCACCTGGGCGTTTCCGGCAGGCCCGCCACCAAAAGAGCAACACTGGCCGCCATAGGGATCTGAAGGGCAATTGGCAGTCGCCACGCGATTGGTCCACTGGTGAAACTCATGCCATAGTCAAAGAAATAGGCCATCGACACCCCGACGGCGGTAAAGAGCACTTCTGTGGTGACGAGGCGGCCTCGATGTTCTCTTTTGCACAGCTCCGACTGATACATTGGGACTGTTGATGTGTCGATACCAACACCGAACCCGGTGATGATCCGCCCGACCATCATCTGAGGTACCGAATAGGCAGAATCCTGAATGACTGCTCCGAGAGCTATACAAAACATTGCTGCCCAAATCGCATGACGGCGGCCGAATCGAGCACCGATGAAGAAGTTGATGGCACACCCGAGAAAGCAACCGACATTATAGATCGAAACGATGATGCCGAGGAATCCGGGACCAGGATGATGGAAAATGTCAAGGAAATCCGGGTTTGTGATCAAGCCCCCAAAGACACCCTGATCCCAACCAAAACTGCCCGGGCTTGGTCAGCTGTTTGCTTGACGACAAATGGGGATAGGCCCTGGCCCCTGGCTGGCCTCAAACGTACAGTACAAATGCCGACAGGCATGTATAGGTAATGGCAAGCTGGATAGGTCGACCTGGCTTGAACCAGTCTCTCGTCATGGTGTGTTTGGAAGAGGAATGTTCGTCGAAATTGCACCTGAGCTGTAGTCCAAGTAAGAAAACGAGTTCTATCCCTGAAATTGTAAACCTGGAGTATACCGACCGGAAGGCGGGGTTTGACCCAGAGTATTTGTACCTTGCCCCTTGCTCATGTCTGATGGCGATTTTGTGGGTATATCAGCTATGGGGTTTATGTGGATCATTCTCTGAGTCTAGTATGGCTCCATGATGTTGCTGAACCACTTCGGCTTTCAAGGGGGAAGAAGGCTATAAGGCTTCGGCACATCAGGCCTTATGTTGCAGTTAACCGAGCATTCATTAATGAGCGTCGACCACAACATTAACCTGTGATGCAACCCTTGAAATTAGAGACCGAATGCCTCTTCTTTCCCGTCGGCGAATCAGCCTTTTTGTAGGTCGACAAGTAGAATCGCTGGATAGTGACGGGAAGCCTTGAAATGGTGTATTGTCTTCACATAGAACTCCAGGCAAAGTCTGTGTAGACTGAACCATCTTCACCTGGAGACAACACTTCCTACCTATATATCTATACGACTATCGATGTTCCTCAATCACAAATGCGCTTGATCGCGTAAATAATGATAGAAATATTGTTTGTCCTCCTGGCGCTCATTATTGTTGGCCAAGTTATAGGGAGTATATTTCCAGCTATATTGTCTCCAACTCTAGAACCCAAAGCAGCTCGATGTAGAATAAAGCCTCAACGGCCTTCCCATGTGCTCTGAACAGACCTCGAAGTTGACCAACTCGGCGTACTACAGGAGTTCCCGCTGAATGTCCCTGCCATGGCAACCAGCATCAAGGCCGCCATTCCAGCCAAGGGAGTGGTTGAGATGACCATGGCGAATAATCCGATTCCTGCCGCGACGCTTCTCGAGGCGTACACCTTGTACTCGGCGAATATAAGCGGGAAGGTAGTGAATGGTATTGGTTTGGCGGAACGCATGTTTGCCCTCCCAGTACAGCAAGACAACTGGAATCTACATGAACGTCAGAAACTCTAAGGACGTCTCATTTCGAGCATTCAAGCGCTTCAATCAGGACTACCATATGTGGATGACAAGTTCTAGAAACATAAGATTCACAGTTTCATGAATCTTTCCACCTTGCCTTCCCAGAGCTTGAGCAATTCTCGAATGGATAGGTCTAGCAGAACGTCTTCTGAGCCTCCGGGCACACGCGACGGTCCGACTTCGCGAGAAATGACTGAAACGTTTGCTCTGGGTTAGGCCTGTGAATAGAGACGAAGAAATATGAGTCCAAGTTTACCTTCGACAACTTCTCCCTGACCTGTCCTGGTGACACTGTTCCCCCCAAATAGAACCTGGGCGTGACTCACGCATTTTCCAAGCACCTTCGCCGCACCAACTTTAGCCATGGCAATCCGAACCCTTACGAGAGTATCTGCTTCGGATCTGCCGAGGATGTTGAGGGTGTAGGTGAGCTGTTCAGCCCGTGCCCATTCGGCTTCCAAAGCAGCCCCAGTCGTTGCGACCCCTCTTTGACGTCCATTTGGAAGCGCTTCCTTATCGGTTGAACTTTCAGATCGGCATAAACTCGACCGTCGAAGATGCCAGAAGTCACCAGGCTGAAGACGGTCAACACCTGGGATCGAAGACGGAGTTGGCGTCGTCCAAATCAACTATCTCGAGAAGCGAAATACCCTTGGTTGGCAGGTGCACCATGACATGCCGAAACAAGCGTGTCGCGTGCTTGTTGTTGTACGGGAACGAGAAATACTTCAGCTCCGGTTGGGCCCTTGATGTTCTCGAGTCGACGGGGGGTGACGAGCGACAGTCGTTTTTCGACATCGCCTTGAAACTCATGGTCACGGTGTACGATTACCCCAAACCTACCGTTTGCGCGGTGGCGGGCATGTGTCCCGGTTACGCTCTCGACGTTGCGAATTTCGCCGACATCACCATCGCATCCAAGAATGCGGCCTTTGGAAACAGCCAGGTCAAGTACGGTTTGAACCCGACGACCCACCCGATGTTCAAGAAGATGGGCGTCCAACGAGCCAAGAGGTTGATCTTCACTGAAGACCCCATGGGAGCAGAAGAGATCAGTTTTGATACTCAGCCCCGGAAATATATGCCAGTCATCGAAATCTCGGAGAGAGAGTGGTGTGTGTGTGTGTGTGTGTGTGTGTGTGTGTGTTGCTGATTTACCGACTTTGTGACAGGCACTCCGAACAGGTCTCGTCGATGAACTCACCGAAGTCGGGCAGTTGTACGGAAAGTCCATGGCTTTGGACAAGCAGATCGGGGAATGTGGATCGGAACTGGCAGTCAATCTCAAGGGGGTGTGCCTGAGGGTGCCCAACATGGATCACATAGGTGCCACCTACTATGAGACTCGCTTCACGAATGACCTGTTGGCGAGGGATTTGACCAAGAAGCTGGTGGCCGAGGGTCTGAAGAGGATCAAGGAGAAGCGACCAAAGGCTACCGAGCGTCTTGGGAAGTGGTAACCTTTTTCAAAGTGGAAACAAGACTCTCCTTGGGCCACACGGTCGATATCACAGCACATGCCTACCGTACCTAGCCAGCTAGCACAATCCACAGGTCTGTCGAAAATACCCCCAAAGGGAAGAAACTGTAGTCTGATGGTGGTTTGAACTATCTCAGTTTCTATAGTTTGGTTAAATGGCAAATGCAACTCGGTGGAGCTCTAATAAAATGCAATTACCACGGCAGCCTCCATGGATGTCTGCTAATATGTGTCACTCCGTCGCGAAGTCTGCTAGCCTTATGGATGCTATAACTTTTCGAACTTGGGAGTCACCTTGGTTCGAGCCGCTGCCATTGCAACTGGGACGTCTTTTGTATTGATGGCAGCGGCATTGAATACAGCGGTATATTTCAGGCCTTAAACAAAGTCAAGTTTGAACACCAGTAACATCAGGGACGATCTCACCTGTAGCAATATCATGGTCTCGATTCCAGTCCAAGAAGTTTTTTGTCGCCTGTACTGCGACAGGGCTTTTGCTCGCGATGACGGCGGCAATACGCGAAGCTTCTTGCATCGCCCCGGCTTTGTTTTCAAAGATGGAGTTCACGAGCCCCACGCGGAGAGCTTCCTCGGCTCCGAAGGTGCGTGCGGTCAAGCACACTTCTTTGACCCAGGAGTAGGAACCCACAACCTTTGGTAGGCGGCTGAGTGTGCTGACGTCGCTGGCCACGCCGATGTCGACCTCCTTGACGCTGAACGAGGCGTTCGACGTACATATTCTCAGGTCAGCACAGACAGATATGTCGACTGCAATCCCGAGCGATATTCCGTGGAGAACACATACCACGGCTGCACAAACACACACACACACACATAGCCATCAGTGGGCGAACTCTTGGTCCGAAGAAGAGACAAGTGAGTGACGAAAGGATGGGAGGAGATGAGAACCTACGCTTCTCGCAACGTTCAATGCTCGACACGCACTCCTGAAACTTGTATGCAAATCTTCTGAACTTGGTTGCGAATCTGGCTCCATCGGCCACATCCTCCGGTCTAGGATTGAATACCGAACCTGGAACCGCAGCACTTTGAAGATCCAATCCCGCCGAGAATGCTTTGTCTCCAGCTCCTGAAAGAATTATAACGCGCACCCTAGGGTCATCCGAAAGGGCATCAAACGCTTTTGGCAGCGTCAACCACATCCTATTGTCGCCCATCAACGTTATGTCTCCTTTAAGTCGGCAAGTCGAACGAAACCAGTAAATGAACTTACTCTTCCGTGAATGCGTTCAGTTTCTCCGGCCGATTGATCTCGACGTGTGCTATCCATTCTTGCGGGATTGACACCGTGAAATGATTGTACGACTTGGTGGCCATGTTGGAGTGATCGGTGTCGTTATTGGTTGTAGCAACAGAACTCGTCGGGATATACTCAATTTGTCCCAGAAGGACATAGGTCGAATAGCTGTAGATACGCGATAACTCAATGTCCAGGAGTGAGGTTGGCGGGAGCCACTCAACCAATGGAAGTCAATGCCCCGGTCTACTAGCAACTCCAAGTCTATCCTCGACAACTGTCTTTATTGGTCGACGCCTCTACTGTCAAGGGTAGTTTGTGTGAGGCTGACGTCGACGATGTCGCCGAAATTGCGTCTTGAATCCGAGGTCTTGACTTTCATAGTTGCCGCTCAGAGTGTACGTTGCTGTGTGTGATCTAGGTATCCTGATTTGTGGGCTGCCACCATCCGGCGAAAGATGCCTTCTGACAACGTTCGGGAGACCTCTGACTCTGGGAGAGTTGTTTCTCCCACAAGGTACAAGATACATGAATTCGAGTCTAACAACATGTTTGCCCTGTCTCTCCTGAGATTCAAATTTGAGGGTGAGTTCAGCAAGTCTTCGGCCGTTGTCTGCTGGCCTTTGGCAATACAGGCATTCAGTGCAACGGTCAACAAGAGGTACAAGGTCAGATGATCTTTGAAGGTAGTGCACCATGTAACCTTGGTGGATGACTGAGAGTCTGAGGAAGGTCCGTTGACGAGCCCCGGACTGATCATCCCGGCTACGACAAATGTCAAATCGTGTTGCCGACTCGTCGGAACCAGGCCGTCCAGTTTCCTGAGAACGCGCTCAATACCATCCCACCTGCTCATGTACAAACTCATGGACTTGGTCGAGGTCTCACAATGCTGTGACAAAGACAATGGCGGGCTTTGATCGGCTTCCACGTTGAGCTTGGTCCCGATTTCAAGCATTTTTAGTGGTAGCATTGCATGTGCTGGTCTAACAAGGATGGTAACTAGTCCAATAGCATGTCAAGTTTGAGTGGACGTCAAACTTACCCTACCATGCCTATCTTTGTCTCCAGGCCGAAAATAGACAAACGACTCATGATGTTACAGACCGAGAGGATGCTGTCGTAAATAGATTCCCTCACAAAGACGAGCTGTTGTCCATTGAAGGGCTGATAGAAGAAGGGTTCAGATGGAAGAGTGATATCTCGTCACAATTAAGTGCAACATTTGCGGTCTTGAAAAAGTTCTTGTCAATTATGGAAAAGAATGAGCTCTCCATGAATTCTCAAGGGAATTCGAAAGGGTTGCAATCTTATTGATGAGTCACTCTTTGGAACTGATTAAACAAGAAGATCGATTGATGGCTAGAAGCAGCATGATGACTTTCAGGAGATTCGACCTGGAAGAACCAAGCCTTGAGGAACTCTCGAGACTTTTCTATTTGAGAAAGTCTATCTGCAAAGTCTTTTAATGATGTGATATGAGGGACGAGTGATCCATCTGAAGGACAAGTAACATCTAGGGCATCGGATAGAATGATCACGAGCCCGATTTGAGAGAGACATAGGCTCATTTGCTGTTCACTTGTTCGCTTGTCATATACAATTGCATGACTGATAGAGTCTTCGAGATCTTCCCGTGTCAATCTTGGTGCCGTAGTGGAATCGAATATATGCCGTGTGATTCGCAGTGGCCGCCGCGATGACAAGGAGATAATCCTGTCACGGATGATGCAACTCCACCACAGCCTCTTCCAGAGAGTCTGAGACTCTGATGGATTAATCGGCAAATGAATTCGCACGTGCTGCCGTCGCATAGCGTACGGCAGTCATAAGCCAGACGCTGTTACCTTTGGCCATATCGTCGTTAGAAGAGCTCAAAGATAGAAGCAGGGCACCCTGTATAATCACAACAGGTCATTCACACGCTCAAAGTCGCAAAGTAACTGCCAACTCAATCAACAGAGCCCTCCGTATACTCTTTGGAGAGGAGGGGTGATACTACTCACGTTTGCTCGGCGACATAAAGCGTGACGAGCGGTTTGGTGATCGTCGAAGCCGCAGGCATTTATGACATCAAGAGGGAGATGCTTCGAGGCCTGTTAGAACAGGGTACTTCAAGGACAGAAAATAGAACACCGAGAGCAAGACATCAACGAGAAGGGTGTCGACACTTACAATACGACTGGCCGACAGAATTGCTTGAAGAAGAAATATAGATGCTCGTTCCAGGCGCGGGCCAGAAGTGACGGCTTTCGTCAAAGCCCACTGGAAGTCCGTCTCGTCCAAAATTGGCAGCATATGGTGAATACGAAGGAAATATCCTCGAACAAATAGAGCGAGATATTCGCCTCGAGGCACTCGAAAGCAGCCAGTGTCATCCAGAAGGTTGAATTCGGCGCGTGATAGCTTATCCGTGGCATTGCATTCTAGATGCGGATGATCGAACACCGACTCCCAAACACCACTGGCAGTATTCGACAATTGAGGTTGGTGCAGGGTTTTGTTCAACGCACCCTGTAGTATCGAAGAGGATAGGTCGGAATCTAGATGTGTGCATGTTTGCGTCTCTGGGATCATCTGTCAGTGAGCGTGAATGGCCTGGACAACACTCTTCAGGGCGGAATGTCTCTGGATCGAAAAGATTTCAATCCCAGCGCTTTCGACAAACGACTCGAAAATCAAATTGAAGTTTGGCCTTGCAGCCTCGGCAACAGGTGACATGGGAAGCTCTTCCTTTGACGGCGACTCGTCAAGAGATGCTCCTCCCCACCGCTAGGTTGCTCCTCATGAGCACCAGAGCGACAAAATCGTTGCGCTAACGCGGCCTGTTTCATACAAAGGCACAGAATCGCCTTCTGTAGAGGAGAAGGATGAACTTCGCTGAGGCTGACCCCATGTAGTGAATTTACTCTCGTAGAGTCACGCTCTCGAGCCTTGGAGATTATGCATCGATTCTTGGGCGGGGCTCGACGACTGTAGTTCAAGGTGAACAAAGTGGGAATAAGGCATGTTCCAGTCTCAAAGTTCTGACTGACCGCTTACGAACCGGCTCTGAAATGGTGCATTCGAACCCTTCGGACAGGCATTGAGGGCAGGGACGATCTTTCTGCCCAACGTCGCAGCGAATCTTGCGCTTGCGGCACGACAAGCAGGCGACTGCAGCTCTCTTTCGGTGCAGTTGAAAATCAACGGTCATCCTTCCAATCGTAGACCTGTCTTGGTACAATCCGAGGTCCAAGAATGTTCACAATCGCTGGGGACTCGCAAGTAAAGCTGCTTGTTAGTATTATGTACCGATAGTTGTAGTAAAACGAAGCCTTGCCTCAATGTGCGAACAAGGCGGCATGAGGAGTTGGAAGCTCAATGCTGTTTCAACCTCGGAACTCTGAATTACTGGAGCTGCTGGAAGCCACGCAAATAGTCACACGGCCACAAGGCTCGTGAGCCTCGATCTGCTGCCATGCACGGGTCCTGGGGCCCCGGATAGTGCCCAAGCGAATAACTCTGGAGAGTGGTGCATAAGTTTATTCATCCTCGGCATTATTTATATTCATAGGCTCACCTGCAAATCCGTAGCTTCATCCTGATGACTTGCAATCGATTTTGCATACTTTGTAATTAAGCAACTGGGTGGTCACGACGCGCGCAAGATCATTGTGGTATGCTGCGGAACTTCAATTATTTCGTGATCATTCTCGATTTTTGCAGCTGGGAGTACGTGTCTGAAGGCTCTCTCCTGTCAGTGGGGCATGATGTGTAGTCAGTGTCTACTTGATACGGCTCAAGGTCGACAGAGACCTCATGAAGGAGAGCCAGGGATCGCTATAACACCCGTCCAGCATGACAACGTCGACGTACTATAAGACCATGTAAATCAACTTGCAGTGTTGGTGTTCGGAAAAAGGTATATCCGACACACAGCGCTAAGCCTCGTGGGGATATGATCACGTGCACACAGAGCCGTTCAATTCATGCCGCGGAAGATGGGGGCAAACAGATCTCATTAGCCTTCAAGGCCTCTCCCCCCCAAAAAGCCTGGACAAACCCTGCCCAAAGGTTGTTGTTCTTTGTCGTTCTCTACATTTTGTCTAGTAGCCCACAACTGTGTGGTAAGGAGCTCAAAGCAACTAGGAGTCCCTCTCTAGGAGTCCCTCTCCAGGCGACACTCCCGCACTCATAGAAAGAGTTATCACCGGCGAAGTCCCTTGAGGAATTATTTGGGGGCTTCTTTTACTGTAACAGATCTGGCATGTCGCAAGTGTGTGGCTTGATGAATCTGGAAATCCGCAGGTGGATTGATGGGGGGGCGCGAATCGGTTGACCCGTACAGGTGGGTTTCAAGGGCGAAGGCAAGGCACAAGGGAAAAAGAAAAAAAACAAAAAAACTGGGTAGGGTTGCCAGAGTGCTGGGAACAATGGGGCGAGGGTCGACTTTCTGGAAAGAATGGATACGAGACATAATATTACTTGTACGAGGCTTCCGTACGGAGTTCAACAGAATGGTGACTTGGCGAGCCTCGGGACGAGATGGGAACCATCCACTCCGTACGGAGTACTGGTAACGAGTAAAGCTGAAAATCACCCTATCAGTTAATTATTAATGGGGCGCTCGGGGCACTTGAACCAAGACACGGTTGTCACGGAATAAATGGGTCCAAAGAAAAAGGGGGGGCGAAATCTTGCCTACAGTACTTCGCCAAAAAGAGGCGTTTTCCGCCGTCGAGAGGTTAGGGTACCTTCGAGTAGGTACGTACACCACTTGTACCTTTTTGGTCGAATGTAATAAAACTCGTACGAGTACACCAAAATAATGAGATCGTTCATACCTTACGGAGTAAGGGTAACTGGAACTGGTATTGTACTCGTAACGTTACTCCTGTACATACAAGGCAGCTCCTCCAACAACAAACAAGCCGGAGATTTGACGAGACTATCCCTGCCCAAAATTGAAATGATGAGAAGGGCTTATTACTGATTCCTCCCCCCCCCGAAAGCCTTATTATTATTAGCCCGGATGAGACCTTACCTACCATTGGGGGCAAAGGCCCGTGGCATGAGTTTGCCTGCTACGCGTTGTAGCAGTACAACGAGTAATCGTGACGGAAGTTCCTCGCAAAGTCAAGGTATCGTGGCATGATCTGTCTGGCACCGAACGAGGCAGCCTGGCTGTACTGTACATATTTACGGTAGTAATTTTTGCGTGGTACAGTGATTACCCTAGGTACTTCGTGGTACGGGAAGTAAAATGATGCTAGTAGCACATACGTGGACTCTTTTTTTTCCGTTTCTTTTCCATTTTCGCCTTTCGGCATGGCCATGGCAGCCTTGGACAACCTCGACCGAACCTTGCCGGTTAGGCTATCGCAGGCACTAGTCCCGACGGCATGCCTTTTGGTTCACCTTGGCTCGGGCCTACTGTATGTATGTACAATACAACCTGTTAGCTTCGTAGGTGGCAATGCACCCGTACAAACAGAGACGTTTGTACGTACTTGTTGGTTATAACAAAAAGCACCCAAGGTGACTTCGGACGAAAGAAAAGAATACTGTAGGTCGAAACGGGTGACTGCCGAATTGACGTTCCGGCTTTCCGAATTGGTTCAAAGTTACGAGAAAAAGGTGGTGCTGTCGATGACGTTCATGACGGCTATGACCGCGCGCCTGAACTGGGTTGCAGGCAAAGCTCTCTCTTTTCGTCGTGCTGCATAAGGGTAGGGTAAGGTTGCTTTTTGGAACAGAAAAACGATTACTCCGTGGGAAGACTACCATAGAGAGTCAACGCGTGTGCCAGAAAGGTTGAATGGTTAATTCGTGTCGCAGTACTCGTACTCGTTGCTCGTAATAGTGTGTGTCTCGAAAACCACAAAAATCTTGTAACGTGTCCTACACACTACGGAGCATATCGGTCCCCCCTACGGCTCGGAGACCTAACCCGAAGATCCTCAAGCTGCATGAAATGCCTGGCGCAAAAGGGAAAAAAAGCCACCCTACTTGTTGCAGCTAAACAAACACGTTGAGGTTTCGACCTTAGCACTTTTTACGACGTCACTGGCCGGGGTCTGTTCTAGGAAACTCCAACAGTTCTCTTCCCCTGTACGAGTACGAGTACCAAATAATGTGAAGAGAACAGCGTTTGCGAGAGACAAAAGAGTGTGAGTGTGTGTGCCACCAACACGTGGATAGCGGAGAATTGGCATCAAGGTGGATATGTGGCTTTGTACACAGCGTACTGTACGCATATGTGTATGTATCCTCGAAATACATAATTATAATTCGTAGCTGTGAAACTGATCCAGGCACCTAACCACACTCCCCAGTGGAAGTGTTTCTGTCACCAAAAACACTGCATTATTACTGCCGCTCGTACTCGTATGCAGGGTGCGCGCTCACACACTCTCTCGCTCACCCTCCAGCATCGGGAAAGGTAGGGCAGACGCAGATAATTAGACACTTTCACGAAAGTGTGCTAATGCGAAGATCATTGCCTTCAGATGTTCCCTCCTGACTAGGGCGAGGGATCGATCTTCGATCCATAATTGTACGAGTATGCTTTGCCATGCCTCCTCGCCTTGACTCGGGAACATTTTTTATGCTCAGGGGAACAAAATCCCCCCAATTCGGATCCGGCCACGGCACAAATACACGTACTGGTTGGCCGTACTGCGTCGCTGACCCTTGCCCTGCTTGTCGCTGCACGTACTCGGTACATAAGCCCCTTGTCGACTCGAACTGCTTGTAATCTTGCTCGATGATGTTATTTGTTTAGTGTTTGTTACGGTAGTCTTGTCGGCGGGTAGCACAACACGACTCTGCAGCCTGACTCATGAACCTGCTGTCAGCGTGGCAAAATGTTGTGCATTAGCTAAACAAGTCAATATGGATTTGCGTGAAACCATTACTGTAGGCTTCTCTTGTGTGCAGTGCTGAGTTGTGCTGTCGAGGAGGCCGGTCAAGCACCACCCGCATAAGTGCTACGAGTACGAGTCCTTTGGACAGTAGTATGCACAAGCCGAGCCTCGTGCGCCTGTGAGATGTCAAGACGTGGGTTTAAGCCAGCAGATCTCACAGTATGAAGACCGATGGCGACAACCCTTGCGCTTCGTCTTATCACATGGTTGATTGTGTGTGAGACCGAAAAAGGACTAGGACCACATCGCTTCGAATTTGACAAGCTGCAGCAGGTTCTCCTGTTGCTCTTCTTTGGTCAAGTCAGACTAGACTAGACAGCCACGATGACTGAAAGGTTAATGTCGGAGGTCGATCGGTCTTGGGCTCGGTCAAGGATACGTGTACAGAGAACGTGAGGGAACATCGACTTTGTTTCGGAAAGGTAAGACACTCCCAACCAAACCTTTGTCAGAGTCAGGTTGCATCAGAGTCACAGTGTAAAATTTCGAGAGGCACAACACTGCAGTTTCGGGCGCTGCTCTCATCCCATCAGATGCCGAGAAGGATGTGGCAAGGCCAACCGAATTGCGGCGGTATTGCTTGTTTGGGCCAGCTAACAATCATTTTTCGTTACCTCTTGCAGCAACCGAAATCAAGTTCAGCATGGCTGCCTCAGGCATTTCGAGTACATTGTGGTACTCGTACAGTACTGTAATAACTGCCGTCCTTGTTTCGCTTTGGGATCCTTTGCTCGTCAAACTTGGTAGAATTAATTTTTCTCATGTCGGATGTCGCTCCGAGAATTGCAGCAGAGACGGACAGTGCTCGGATGGAACATAATGATGATTATTCACGGCGAGTACCTTACACACAGTGATGACGAGACGGACTTTGCCATTGAAGCGCCATCGGAGTGCGATATTGCAGCCTTGACGGTGCAGGCAGCCGCCCGCGCAAGGCTCAGACAGGGCCCTAAATAGGCTACTACTCGCAACAATCTCACCAGAGACATGCCTGGATCGTGACTACGCGGGCGGTAGGCCGATGGTTCAGCTCCCTCGCCCCTCGTTGCGAGTCTCGCGTGTTACCTGCCTGTCGCCCTAAATCTTCGCGGAAATCCGTCATGGCATCAATTCGAATACTGTAATCCGTACTCGTACTCCGTATCGCTGGCGTGTTTGCTCATCCGTCAGCCACCCTTACACGTTGTGTTTGTTTTGTTAGACACCTGAGACGCGCGCCGCCTGTTCGAGCAAACTCATCCGTGGTCGGCGGTAACTTATGACACCGTCGCTTGCACTTTCTTCTTGAACGAATTCTTCGGAGGATTAGGTCCGAGGCTGGCAGTGGTTTCAGAGCAGGATCCCTGTTCCGTGGTGTCGTTGGCCTCGCCTCGTCCATGCTTTTCCTCGGCACCTAGTCTACTTTGGTGTGCACCATGTCAGTGATTGTGCATGCTCATCACAAAGTAACCCCTGTCTCGTTGGGACGCGCGCCATGCTTTCTCGAAGGACAAATCCCACGGTGCGCGCGCAAGACACAGTACGGGCTCGTAAAAGTATGTAGGCATCGACCAATGTGATCCGAGTGATCGATCGGTCGACGAGACTCTCGTGTGGCCATTCGCACGATATTAGTGACCAGGCCTGTTCCTTGATCCAGTAGTTTGACACCGGCACAATCCTTGGCTTCCAGTAGAAGTTGAACGGATAAATATTACCTACGCCTACCCAATTATGGCCATAAGGGATGACGTTTTTGACTTTGGGGGGGTTTCGACGATGCTGAACCCCCCCGGTCCGACCATCAGCCGGGGTCCGTCCAACAACTGTGCGCACATCGTTACGTTGCAGAGTTTTCCGCCAACCTCGATTTGCCGTCATTACAGCCCTGGATGGAAGTTTCAGTCAAACGGTCGCTGTCAACGAACCGGTTCGCATGAAGGGTGTGTGATGACGATGCGTTTACCGTATTGGTTGACAGTAATCGCCGCAAGTCGTCCGGTCATCCGGAGAAACGCTGTGTGAGTGCGTGAGTGCGTGATGGTGTATTAGTATTCGTACAGAGGATGACGGGTACGAGACAAGTGGGATTAGTATGAGCAGCAAGCCGTGATAGTAAAGATATGGATCTTGATGATGACTATAAGCATTTTTGCAGTGATCACTCGTCGTGCTCCGTTTTATAATCAGACTTCTAGGCTATCTTCGTGGTCAGCCTCGAGGATCTCAAAACGTCTCGAGCCCACAGTCACCCAGCGAGAATATCAATATCCACACAATAACGGAAAAGGAGGGTCGCGAAGCATTGCCGGTGGATGGTGAGCTTGGGACAAGTGGTTGCGTAGGTGTGTTCCGGGTTTTACAGGGGGCAAGAGGCTTCTCTGGGCATGGGCAGTAGCAACGACGTAGCCAGCGCCCTTCCCCCCCCTAGACAGCGCCACCCAGCGAGCTCCCGATCGACAGATGGTGGGCCAGGGTGTTTAGCGACATGGGCAGCGTCACAGCAGGGCCGACGCTTGGACTACGCCGCACCACCATCTGACCTCTGACCTTCTTCCCTGCGCTCTTTTCTCGTCTCCTCGTCTTTCCTGCCTGAATCATCCATCACCAGCGGCGGCCACACGGTTGAGTCGTCCAAATCCCCGAATCAAATCTCTTTCCTCTCTCTCTCCCTCTCTGGCGAGCAGAAAAGGTTTTGCATCTCATCCAAATTCTCTTTTTCTCCCTTTTCCTTCTTGTTTCTCTCATCATCTCCCTCGACCGCGAGCAAAGACAAAACCAGGCATCGTAGTTGTCTTCTTCTACTCTCTTCAGACGCATCCACCGCTCCGTCGAATTTTTATCCACCAACGTTTTCCGGGCGGCAGCATCTGCAATCGGCATCAGCAGCATCCACGCCGCCAGCCCACCCACCGTCAAAAAATACCCCCAACCCAAAATACACCTGTCCAAGACGAAACCTTCCCACCTCCCGCGCCAGACCCAGCACCACCTGCGAGTGTCTGACAAGCTAGGAGTAGAGGACCCAGTCAGTGACCCTCATCTATACTCGTCCCTCTCAGCTTCACGCGTTGCTGCAGAAAACATCACACACACACACACACGCACCCTTTCCTTTCTTCCACACATCCACCCCCCTCCCTCCTCCACCCTCTTACCAAGCTATCTTGCCCAAAGCCTTCTTCACCTTCAGCCTCATCCGTGGCTGCGCTTTCGCCCTCTTCTCATACAACATACCATCTCTATTCCGCTCGAGACTTTGCTGACAGGTCGCATCGCTGCTGTACCTTGCAGAAACACATTTGATCCTTCGTCGCTGTTTTGCCGCCGGAGGAAAAATTTTTAATCTGTCCTGTCTTTACTGAAAGCCAACCGACAAACCCCATCGAATTTCATCGACCCGCATCTCGACGCTCCTGTCCACGTCCTACCAGACCTCCTCTCATCTCCTCCGCTGTCGCCTATCTCGGTCGTCCCATGGTCGGTTGAGTTCTGCGACGCCACAGACAGATTTGCTTTCAGGTGATGGACCCTCGGCAATCACTTTCAAGGACAACATCGTCCGGTGTTGGAACACCGCAGAATACATACAATCCCAATAACATGGCGACAACCTACGGCATGCCTCCCTACCAGAATAACACTCACCTGCCACCCATCAACTACTCGCAACTCCCTCCCGCCGGTCAAAACTACATGCAGCAACAGTACCGCAACGATCTGCCTCGCTACACCTCTGCACCCACAAACGCCCCAGTGCCCTCCCCTGCGCCCGACAATCGATACTCGCAGATGAACCCCCAGGGCCCCATGGGTGGCTTGCCGCCGACTTCTATGCTGCCGTCTCCTCATCAACAGCCGCAACAGCCTCCTCAGCAACAACAGCCGCAACACCAGGGCTATCCTCAACAGCCACCTCCTCGTCAGAGCTACCCACAGCCACTTGCTCCGGCCCCTCCTCGCCCAAGTATCGATGCTCTCGGACAAGGTTACCCTCAACCCGATAACCGCGGACAACCCTGGACTGGTGCAGAGTCGATGCCAGGCATGACTACTGATGTCGGCCGCGACCCAACAAGAACCCATGTTGTCGGTTCCCAAGGACGAAGAGGCATTTTGCCCAGTGCCCCGGGCCGACCTCCGGTCATGGCAAACGGCGTCAACGGTTCGACAAAGGGAAATGCAGTCCCTCAGAAAGATGCCGATGGCAAATTTCCGTGCCCCAACTGCACCAAGACCTATCTGCACGCGAAGCATCTCAAGCGTCACATGCTCAGACGTATGTAAACCCTGCTTTATTACTTTCTTAAGTGCTAACACTTCTCAGACACCGGCGATCGACCCTACATGTGCGTTCTTTGCAACGATACTTTCAGTCGAAGTGATATCTTGAAGCGACACTTTCAAAAGTGTTCCGTCCGCCGTGGTAACCCAACTGGAGCCAGCCACTTGTCCAACCCTGCCGCCCATCTCAAGAAGTCCCAACAAGCGGCAGCCAAAGCTGCTGCCGCCGCCGGGCAAAACAACTCACCCGCCAATGCCTCGACCCCGACCAGCGGCGTCATGGCTAACCCTCCTTACACCACTGCTGCCATGCCGAGCACATCTGCGCCTACCACGACTGCTTCGGCACCTGGAATGGCATATGGAATGGGTGCTAATGGCCAAGGCGACATGCAACGCCAGGGACAGGCAATGCAGGCTGGTGCCACACCTGGTGCCATGGACCCCAATGGTCACAACTCGTGGCAGATGCATGATGCTAGAGGCAATCAGCTGATGTATCAATCGACTTCCGCAGCTCCTAATCACTATGGCATGCAGCCCGGTGGAGGGGACGACAAGCGCAACGTTATGCCTGGCGCTCATCACATGGGAGACGAATGGAACCACATGTTTCCCCCTGGTGGCAACGAGGGCTACATGAACCCCATGTTTGGTGGTTACGACCAGTCACAGGGTGACGTGAAAAAGGAGTATGAATCTCATGAAGGTGGATCGAATGGTTACTACATTCCTTCTACGAGCCTTGGAGCTGACGGTACGCTTGGACCCCCTCTCTGGAACCTGCATGCATATCGGCAAGACTTGTTGCAAGCCAAATTGAACGCCTTATTAACGTTTGTTTTCCCTGGGGGAATACAGGAATCGCTCCAAGAGCAGCAAAATAACCTCAATTTGCAAGCATACCTGACCGTCGACGCAATCCAACATTTTCTCGATCTTTTCCCAAATTTCCAAGGTCATTTTCCCTGGCTGCACGTACCGACTTTCGATTTTCTAACCGCTTACGACGGCCTCGCCCTTGTTATCATATGCAGTGGAGCTGTATATTCGGATCGTATTTCGCAAGATCAGGTCCGGGACTTGATGCAGCACGTAAAAGAAGGCATCGAACGGACATCAAGCATTCTCAAGAATCTGGAGCAGGGCACACCACAATCGCAGTTTCCGGCATCGGGAATCGAATATGAAGAGCTCCAGGCGCTGACAATCCTGCAAACCCTTATCGTCTGGCACGGCGGCCCCGATGAGCGCGCTTTGGCTCGAGCTGAAAGCAAAAGAATCATGTACCTGGTGCGAACATTTGACATGTTGACCTTGGCCGGTCCTGACGATCCCGTCGGGCACAGCTATCTTCACAGTCTTCAGCCCGGCGAGGAAGCCGATCCCTCTCGCTGGGACTGGCGCTCATGGATAGAGCAAGAGAAGCGCTCCAGGTTGATGTTCATGGTGTTCTTGTGGGATGCTGCCATGTGCATATACTTCAATGTTCCACCTCAATTTTCCTCGGCCGAGATCAAACTTCCATTGCCTTGTGATGATGCCGCATGGGAAGCCCAGGATGCTGAAACTTGTGCCCAAGCGCTTGGTCTCCGAGGCCCCGTCTCCCAATCAGCAATCAACGTTACGGGATCCCACCGACTGAAGCAGTTGGAGATGCACCATGCAATGAGTGCTTTGCACAGTTCGACAGTACTCATGCATCCACGAACCACCAACATCTATTCAAAGTTTATTCTTATCCACGCCCTTCACTCCGAGATTTGGCAAGTGCAACGACAGCGGTCATTCGTCAGCCCCGTGGGCTCTCCGTCAAGCAACACCTCCTCTCTGGACCAGGCAATGAATATGTACAATTCTATCAATATGGCTCTAGCTCGGTGGAAACAGTCATGGGACGAAGATCTGGCCCTCCAATACCCTGCATACGACGGATACTCCCAGGCTCCTAAGCGTGTGGGATTCTGTCGCGATGGCGTTCATTTCTACTGGCTTGCTCGGGCATTTTTGCAACCTGATCGTATCCATGATTGGCAATTACCTCCAGACACCCGCTTACAGCAGGCTCTCCAGGGACTCAAACAAGCTCGCGAATGGAGTCGAACAGATGGAGCTCGGAGAGGTGAAGAACCTGGAAGTGTGGCATACATCGATGACAACTACGCTGTTGCTTCAGAAGTCCTCAACATGAGAGGTTTATTTCGACCCCTGACAATGATCTCTGATGATCCGGCGGTGCTTGAATAAAAGTCTTCGCTCTTTGAACATTTATTGCACTGGTCTGGTGCTTTGGTGTGGGAAACTCCATGAGGCAACGATACGTTATTTCCGTTCAATTCTTGTGCAATAAACCTTCCAGTTCGACAATGGTGAGCAGTCAGATTCTGTTCATTTGTACATTCTTGAGGAAGATGGAAACGGAGCATTGCTCCTGTCATGGAGTGCAGCAGTTATGGGAAAAGCCGAAGAGATGACTTGGGGAAAGATCGAGATTGTGTGGTTTTGTGCGCGCGCGCGCGATGGTCGAGGTTATGGTCCTAATCGTGATTATTTTATGCATGCATGGGCCGCGTTCAGGGTGAGGGAGTGGGCTTTACCATGGACATTGAGGTCACCGGTTTTGTTTTGCATTTTTACGGATTGCATCGAAATACATGGGTTTTGTTTTTACAACAGAGGGGCTTCCATCAAAAAAGCCTGCCTGTTCAATGGGTCGGAAAACGTCGATATTCGTGGTGGACCGTCAAAAGTCTGTTCCACGCTGGAATTATTGTTTTTTTGTTGTTTCCTTTTCGTGATTGGGGGAGTTCAGTGCTGTGGTTTTTTTTCATCATCTGCCTACGATCATGTCCTACTGCCAAATAGAAGAGACGGGACTCGGTTGTGAGAGAGTGGCATCGAGGGGGCGGGAGACCGGCATTGACATTGACATCCGATGCGTTTGTCTCTGGAAATCCCTGGCTCTTCTGTGCAAGTTGTTTTTATGAAAGACATTACCGAGAAAAAAAAGCACCCCTTCAACATCAACATCATCATCGCGTTCCACACAAATAGATAGAAGCAACAACCAAAAAAAAACGCAATGCTATGAAGACAGCGCTTTTTGAACAAATTGTACAATTTTTCCAAATTTCTACAGGAAGTAGTACGGTGCAACCTTTCCGAGACCACTACATCTTGTGGTCAGCACCCTCGGAGGACCTGTCTGCTGTACTCGGTACATGAGGTCCCTCTTTCACTTTCCATCTCTCAAGGCAAAGGATTGAGGCATCGCTGACCAGGAACGGTGCGCGTGCTCGTCGTGTCCACACGTCTCCTGGACAGTCACGAGTACCGCACGAGTTCGGAGTAGTCCACGGTTGGAGCTCAACCGTGCTCGTACTAGATCCCTCTTTGGACAGTGGTCACTGCGTACTCTGCGTACGGAGACTCCGTACCTGTAAAGGAATCGTCAACAACCCACTTCCCGAGATGATTCCCGTCCTGCGGAGGGCGAGTCTGAATATTACACCGCCGCCCGCCACATCTAGTGACACACCCGTAGGTCAGTGACGGTTTGGCACCGGACACGCTTCACCTTTGGGGTTCTTGGTTTCCGTTGCAAAGAGTATTGTGGACCGAGACCCTCATACGGAGTACGGGCGCGCGCGTAGATGCTACCCGTACATTACTTGCCGTGGTGCGATGATTCAGTGTGATTTGCCGTGATCGATAATGTGATGCGAGGTGATGCGTGAAACGGGGTACCGTAAATGTCCATGGAGCAAGAAAGGAAGTCGAGGCGGGCGGGAACAGAAACGTTGGTCCGTACTGCGGATACACCACCGGATATCGTGTACAAAATTCTCCGTAGCGTGGCAGATCGTTCGGGTATTCTTGACCGCCACGGCGGCATGGGATCATTCCCACGGCGCGAAGAAGGGGGGACGACTCGAGACAAGGGTGTGACTGAACATGCGCGCTCGGTACCCGTAGAGTCGTACCTCCGTAGTGGTGGTTTGATCAGTCGTAACGGTAAGCGCAACCGCAGCCGAGAGGAAAGGGGTGGCTACGCTTGCCTTGTGCGGTACAAGTAACCCACGCCGTTGTGGGATAGTCGATGCAAGTCATTCGACTGGGTTCAAACCCCTGACTCGCACAAGTGGGAGGAACGCGTTTCATTCAGGGGTCGACGCTGAAACGCCGAACAACAAGGCTGTATACCTTGCACTCGAATACTCCGTATGCACGGGGCTGTAACTCCGGGAGGTCACATCACATATCCCAACCACCGAGTCGTCGTACTAGCACTCTCATTCGCACTCGCAGAGGGGGCTGAGTACTCCCAAGGGATGCCGGCACCATTGACTGTCGAGGAACGGAATTCGGAGCGAATGTCCCGAGAAGGTAAAAGACATGGAGAATGAGAAAGCATGTACGGAGTACGAATACTGTATTCCCCATGTGCTTCACCTGCATGTGGGAATCCGTGCGCCTCATGGTGATATGCTTCGTGCCTTTTCGTCCATTGGTCTTGTTTGAGAAGAGCTGCAGAACCATCCCGTCCAGGGATCCGGTAAATGCATGCCGTTCATGTTTTCCCTTCATTGATACCCTCTCCAAACACTATCCGACCTTGTACCAGTCTGAGTGAGACTAAAATATCCCGTGCTAGCAAGGTTGACTTGAAACTCCTTGAATTTCCGTGCGCCGGCCTTCTTCTCGAAAAGGATGTCTAGTTCCATGTACGTCAAGCCGAAGGGTTCAGGAAGCCGAAACCAGCACCATACAAGACACACGAGCGCCGTGCCTGCGTACAAGAAGCATGATTTACCTTTCCAGTCCCACGCTGAGGGGTTGAGCATTCGTGGCGTCAAGATATTGGTGGCTATGCTGGCGATATTATACGCGACGCGAGCGAGGACGACTGTTTTGACGCGCAGTCGGGTCGACGGGATTTCGGCGACGAGAACGTAGCACACGGGCCCTATGGTGAAGTCGTAGACAAAGGTCAAGGCGATAAGCATTGATCCCAGAGTCCAAGATGTGGTGTTCGTTTCAGGCAACGTGCCAACAATACCGGTTACCAAGAGTAGTACGAGTGAGACAGCGAGTCCGCCGATATAGAGCGTGCGTCGGCCGATCTTGCGCATGCCCACCCAAGACAAAATACCGGCGCAGATGGCACCTCCATACATGCCTACTGCGAGGTTGAAGCTGTTGGCCGTGTTGAAACCCGCTTGTTCGTAAAAGTACGCCGCGTATCCGGTCATGGCACCACCACAGAGGGCTTGCGTGCACCATACCATGCAGCAGATCTCGGTACGGCGTAGGTCGGTGCCTTTAAAGCAGTCGAGATATGAGACGCCGCCACCGTTGAGGTACTTTTCAACTCCGTTGGTGTGCTGCATCATGGCGATGGTCTCGTCGGCATTGAAGTCGGGATCTGCATCTTTCGTCGTCAGGCGTAAAAGTGATTTCTTCGCCTCGTCTATCTTGTCATGCCGTACACACCACCACGGACTCTCCTGTCGAACGTTAGGCCCTTGTGTAATGTTTTTAGTATGCGGAAGACCTGGCTACTCACTGGGGCGAACAGAACACCAACAAGAATGGGTACGGCAAACGCCCATCTATAACGTGAAGGGTTCAGGTCAGCATAATAGGTCGAGTCCGTGTGTTGAGGTAGAGAGTAGCACAAGACAAAAAAGCAATAATCTTGCCCACCTGTGCATATCACATTGAAACCTCTGCCTTCACCCTCTTCCGAACTAGGGTGCACTTATACCATAACACTTAGAGACATGCGAAACTAAGGGGAAACGTACTGAAGTCCGAAAGGTAATCGGTAAGACCATTCTGACGTATTGTGCACCAAGGCTCGAATCACGGCAGCAGCTAGTATCTGTCCTATCAACCAGCACAGGTTGACATTACTTGTCAAATATGCTCTGAGGATTATTGGCATGACTTCGGCAGCGTAAGTAGTAGACAAGGTCTGTATCGATGATATGTTAACACGAGGCAGTACCTGGAGAAGACATGGATACTGACCTGGAACACGCCCCACGGGAGACCACACAAGATCTGCGCAGCAAGTAACATCTTGATGTTGACAGCAAAGAAAGCCAGAAAGACAAATAATGACATTCCGATCAAGGATGCGACCATGGTCTTATGATAGCCGAACTTATCAGTGAAGAATCCGTTGAACATCAGGCCGCATATCTCGCCAGCGACTGCAGCATTGGTGAGACCAGTCTGCCACGCAGGAGATATCTGATAGTCGAGTTTGGCATCTGGAGTATCGGCATTGCGGTTGATCGGGGTGCCGTAGGATCTGCGAAATACGGGGAATGCATAAAAGCTGTTGATCAAAGCGCCATCATAACCCTCCATCACGATTGTCATACTCAATAGAACAGACCACATGATCGCCTTGGGGTATAATCTGCAGCCTCGCAAAAATGTCATAGTATGCTCGGCTTTTGCGGCTGCTCTTGCGTCGACAGAGAGCCGGCGTAGATCTGGCATCGCGTGCGAAAGACCATAGAACAGGTCATCGTTAGAGTTGGTGACATTGACCCGATTCTGCGCGTCGCGGTTCTGCTCCTGTTGCGTTTTCAGACGCTGTAGATGTGGTGAGGCTGGATCGGCCACAGTAACGAACTCTAGGAACTCGGAAGGATGTGCCTTATCAGTTGACACCCCGGACTCCCTTGTAGAGCCCGGGCGAGGGCTGCCGTCGTTCGCAACAGTCATGGTTGATCGGCTGCGACTCGACCGTAGTTCACTTCACGAGTCGAGTAAACTTGTCCGGACGCATATGGGAGCGTTGCGAGACATCGTTGATGCCGAGATTGCTGGATAGACACAGGGCTCTTTGCGCAATCGTTGGAGGTCAGTACCAGAAAAGAAATCTTGGGGATGCAAGGAAGAAAGCGGCGACAGAAGGATAGACTTTTGACAAAGCTCGCATCTAGCAATGATGGCATAAGGGAGCTGCATCTTGAAAGTCCCGTGAGGAGAATCGATCCTCTGCTATTCGTAGATTCCTGCCGAAAGAAAGGCCGGAGAAGAAGGCGATGGAGGCGATGGCGCAAGAGGAGAGACATGATTTGCTGCTAAGGATGAAGCGAAACGATGGTGGTCAATCTCATTCCACAGCCGGGAAGCTGGAGCTGTTGGGGACATCCACCCCCGCAAAATTCTGGGCCAGGCCTCGCTTAAACCAGAGTCATAGCTTTACCAAACGTGTGGTTGAGAAT